AGAGCCTGGTGGGGTTTTTTGTTTTGTTTGTTTTTTTCTCTTGGTGAATCTGGTCAGTAGCCCTGGGTACCTTGAGCTCAAAATTTAGATATTACTACCTGTCCAGTGGCGTCCCTGGATGGTGTCAGCAACCCGCACCTTTGTTCAGCAAAAGATTGCAAGCTTGAGTCCATCCTGATCCGCTTGGAAGGACAGCCTGGCAACCCACTGAAGAGCCCCGTGAAGAACAGTTTCACTAGGGACCCATGAGGGGTCACCGTTTGTCAGAACCAGCTCCATGGCTATACGCGTTACCGGTGGTGCTTGTTCAAGTGCGTGGTGGTTCTGGTGCACTTTATGGCTGACTTCACTGATGTTGTAGGAGCCCTGGGGGCCTAGGGCTTTTGAACTGCAAGATCAGCAGTTCTAAGTTACCAGCCACACTGCAGGAAGATGATGAGGCTTTCTACTCCTGTGTTAGTCTGGGTACTTTAGAGAAACAAATCCAGAGAAACTCATGTATAAGAGTTTTATATAAAGGGTAAGTGCACATCAAGAAAACATCCCAACCCAGTGCTGTCCAAGCCCACAAGTCCAACATTAACCCTTATGTCCGACACCAATCCACAAAGCCCTCCTCCATCTCACAGAACACACTCAATGACGCCGACTGCAGGAGGAAAGCCGAGTCAGTGAACGTGTAAGCATCTCAGCGCTGGTAGGGGTCTCCGCACGGCTGCTCCAGCACCCAGGGCTGCATCGGGGTAGGTCCATGCAGCTTCTCCCCAGGGATGTCTTTCAGGAAGTGAGTCGTGCAAGCTGAAGCAGGGAACTGGCTAAGGCAGCTGTACCCTGGTCCGACCATCAGAAAGCAAGAGACCTGAGAAACCGGAAGGGCGAGGCTCACCCAGCCATTTATCTCTCTGTCCTTCAGTTACCCCCACATTTGTTTATCAGCCAGGTTGGCATCATAAACTTTAACCATCTCATCTCCTGTAAACAAGTTGTAGCCTCGGCCAGGCAGCGGGCCATTCGACCCTGTCTTATGGGTCCCTGTGAGCTGGAATCGACTTGATGGCAGTGAGTTTGGATTTTGGGTTGTTTTTGTTTGTTTTCAGTTTTCACTGATGCTAGGTAAACGTAGAGAAGGCTTTTCTGACACGATCATGCCTTTCCAACTTGGAGCTTATGAGAACCAGCCCTCCTTACAAAGCAGATGTTTAATGTTCTGAAACACCTCCTTCTGTGGCGTGTGCAGTGCTTGTCCAGTGTGTGAAAGGGGAGCCCAGTGCCTTTGATGGGCTCAACTAAGCGCCACCAGATCTGTATCTTTGCCATCAAGTCTCCCTCTACTTGGACTTCGTGGGCTTGCCTCCCCCAGCCATCCCTACCCCCACCCCTCGTTTTCTGCATTCGCGTCATTGTACAAAGGTGCGTGTCTGGGGAGTTCAACTGGAGGCCGTGCGTCCCGGGCCATCCAGTGGGGGAGAGCACAGGTCCTACCCGGAGTGCCGAGGGAGGAGGGCAGAGCTAAAAATCACCTCGTCCTCCCTGGTGTTTGATCCTCGTGAGCACCCGCCAACCACCATGACCTGACACTTTGGATTCTGCTGAAATATGTGGTTGGTTCTTTAAAAGATGGTAAGCCATTTATCTGTGAACACACATGTATACGGTTTTATGTATGAACTGGAGGAAATCAAAGAGCCTTTTAGTCTGTAGGCACCAGGGAAGGTTGGGCAGAGAGGTTACCACGCAGCACCTGGCCTGGATCCCCCGGAGGGGGTCGTTGTTATATTTGGCTCAATATTTTGGCCCAGGAGTCGGCTGTGCGAGGTGGGAGGAGGAGCTGGGGAGCCTGGAGTCTTGGCTTAATCCTTCTCCAGGCCTGGTGCAGTGAGAGGGGTGGAAAGGAAGGCTGGGAGGAAGCGATCTAATGTTCAGGATAATGGAGAGATAAAGGAGTCTTGTAATTAGATAAGGGCTGTGGGTGAAGGGTGCGGGGCGGAGACAGAGACAGGAATGCTTGAATGGGGCCTGTAAACATCCATCCTGGAAAGCAAGGGAGTGGAGGGAGGAATTTCCGGTGCTGGGGAAGCCCGTCCCCAGGTGACAGATGGAATTACTTTCCGATATAGGTGTGCCTGAAATGGCTTTTAAAACCCTGGTCTTTGGAAAATCTAACGTATTGATAATTGCTGGAGGCCTGTCTGGGATTTTCTTCTTCTCTTGGCAGGAGCGTGACCACAAAGAAATCCACTCTGCAGGGGCCAGGCGGGCTGTACTTCCAGGACCGGCTGGTCTTTCTACTCAGTTTTTCAGCAAAAATGTTCGTGACAGTGTCTCGAAAGGTCTCCATATCAAGCACTTGACCTCTAACCGATTTTGAATCCCCTGGGGGGACAGCCCAGCAAGGGAGCATGTCTCAGAGTTTTGCAAATGGGGAAACTGAAGCTCAGAAGGTCTCTTCAGCTAAGGGAGCAAACGTGGGGGGAAGGGGGGGCTCCGACAACACCCCACCCCACCTCGGAGGCACTTACTCTGCAGCGCAGTCATACACGCTCCTAGTCATGTGCCGCGATTCCTTGCTTACTCCTGATGGTGGCCTGCCTCACATCTGCAGAAACTGCATAACGGCCTGCAACCCAAACCACCCCCAAATAAACAAACCATTTTGAGACTTCTTCTTTATAAGCCTGCCTTCCTGCCCTACCGGAAAGGAGCTCAGGTGGTGTCCTTGATGAAGGCTGCTCACCGAAAGTTCGGAGGTTCAAAGCCACCGACCTCTCCACAGGAGGACAATGAGGCCATCTGCTCATATACTAAAGATGTGCGGTCTTGGAAACCCTGCATGGGGGCCTCACGCATAGCCATCGACTGGACTCCAGCTCATAGGGACCTGCTAGAGGGCCCGGGGAGTGTGTGTGGAGTGGGGGGTGGGGTGGTATGGAAACGTATGTATCCCTATACCTTTTGCATGTTGAACAAGTCCCTTGTCTACAAAGAAGCCCAGGGGTGAGGGACCTATAGAATACAGTATTGTTTGGCAGGGGGTGGGGTGGGTGGGTGCTCATCAGGCACCATGAGTGAGGGCGTTGATCCTTCTGGGCAGTTCAGCTCAATTCCAGGAGCTAAGGCGCCATTCCGTTGGTATGTGGCTCCGGTCTGGATCTGTACCAGGGCCTCATCCGTTACGCTCACGGGAGTCAGCCGGAGTCAGTCGAGCGAGTTTGTGGTTTTGTTCTTGTCTTTGTTGGTCATCAGTGACACTGGGGCAACAGGTGCTATTCCCAGATGCGCTTTGTGTCCAGTATTGTTAGCCTTTTAAAGAGTGTTTCTAAGGTAAACCCTCAGCATTTTCCTGGTGCAAATCAAAAAGCCCAATCTGCCCCAGCCCCGGCATCCCCACCCCACAGCCTCTCTCCCGGCAAGAGCCACATCTGTGCTGAGCAGATGTTGTTTAATTCTTTCCAGAAAAGGGAGTGGAGCATTGGGATGGAGGGTGCTTCCTCCTTGATACCTTGTTGTTAGTAGAGTTCATTGTCATCTCTGTTCTGGGTGGGATTCAGTGCCTGAATCATGTAAATGTGCCACCGAGAGGAAGCAGTTGGAGTGCGGCCATGCAGACATCCTCTCAGCTTCAGTACAACACTGCGTCCTCTTTTAAGTAGCCAGGTGCCTGGGTTGATGCGGCCCAGAGGGGAAGGAGGGAAGTTCACACCCTACCCTTCAGTTCACACACACACACCATGCTAGACAAATATGACGCATGTACCATCATAGACACACACCGCCATCAGACATACACACACAAATACACACAAACATCACAGGCAAGTATCTCACACGCACCCCATCATAGGCACATACCCATACATAACAGGAAAGTACGACACAGACACACACCCCACTGTAGACTAGCATGACCCCCTCAGAAAGGGCTGTAGGGGAAATCAAGGCAAGAGGCAAGGCCCTGAGCACTGGGCTGGGGGTGGGGGTGGGGGCGAGGGTGTTCCCTGAAGCCCCTGCCACCAACGGGTCAGTGCCACCCGAGTGTCTCTGTCCTGGAATCCAGTGCAGTGCCTGCCACAGAAGACTCCGGTCTGTTTGAATGAGTGAGAAAAAGACATCGAACCCACAAAAGTGGGCAGAGATTGAGTGTCGATAGGCTTGCTGAACATTCAAAGACATGGCCCACCAAAGTGTGGTGAAAACTGGCCAGAGGCACAGGACAAGAGCTGTTGGGGGGCGGGGGGAGAGATTTTGGCAAATGCATTGTTGCCGGCAGGTGCCCACGCATCTCGGCCCAGTCCCTGCCGGGTCCTGCCCCACAATCCACAGTGTCTGAGGTTTGGGCCCATGGTTGCAGCGCTGTGGGAAATGTGAGACAGAACTTACTGTGGAATTGAGGTTTTAAAAAAGCAAAACACCCACCTCGGCCGCCAGCGAGCTGATGGAGGGATCCTATAGGTTCAGGCTGGGGGGGAAAGTCCTAAGTGCAAGACCCGGATGTGCAAAGGATCTTTGTTGACGTGAAATGTTTTCCAACCTAGGTAAACCCAGCCGCAGGATCCCTGTGTGATGTGGAAGTGGATTAGTTTACCCTTGTGCTGAATGAGATTACTAGCTTTATACAACACTAAGCCATGGTCATCCATTATGAATGAATTTGTGGGTGCCAGGGATCAGCTAATTTATCGCGGGTGCCCACACAGACCTAGGGCCTGAAGAAGGTTGTACCTGCAGACTGGGGTCTCCACGCGGAATCTCCAAAGATTCACGAAAGATTTATAGAGGACTTGTCCCTTTCTTCTTGCATGTAGCTTGCCTTGATTTGACATTGTTTTTGCGCACCACCCACCCCACCGAAAAAGAGAAAAATAAAAAGGTGAGGTGGGCTACCGCTTCTAAGGTGTCTTTTGCTCTGCTGCGTTCCAGAGAACGCTGGCAAGGGACCACCTCGGCCTGTCCTGCAGCTACCAGCCCCATTGTCACAGCCCTTCTCCCTCTTATCGTTCCAGTGACAGCTATATCGTGCGTGTCAAGGCTGTGGTTATGACCAGAGATGACTCCAGCGGGGGATGGTTCCCACAGGAAGGAGGCGGGATCAGTCGCGTCGGGGTCTGTAAGGTCATGCACCCCGAAGGCAACGGACGGAGCGGCTTTCTCATCCACGGGGAGCGACAGAAGGACAAACTGGTAATGGCAGACATGCAGCGAGTGGGGGGGTTGAAGGAGCAGCCACTCATTCTTGATGTTGGGGCCTAGCCCCTCCTCCCTTAGAGCTGGGTGAGGGGGGGTGTTTGGTGGTTGCTGCTCCTGTTTTGGGGTAACCCCCTCCCCACTTTTCTTTCTTTGACTTCAGACTCTAACCAGAGTTTTCAAAAGTTAGGCTTCTCTTGTGTGGTGCTCAATTCCAAAACAGAACCCCTACTTTTCCAATGAAGTCGCTTTTTTTCATCACTCACAAAAGGGTTGGGGGTGGGGAGGGCATTCCGTGGTTTTCCCACAAGGTTCCACTCTCAGCAGTGCGTGCGCCCTCCTGTTTGGTTCTTGGACTCCTGAGGTACATGGACCAGGCAATCAGCACCAAGCAGAAAAGTGAACCACTTCATCCTGAGCAGTGGAACCAGCACTTTGTGCACGCCCGGCCGGCTGGTCCCTGCAGCGGCTGTGGAGGCTTGGGCTGGGGCGTGGGAGAGTGCGTGGGAGGGCCTCATCCCAGTTTCCATCCCTTCTAAGTGACTGTCTAAAAGACATCCTAGCTTGAACGCGTCAGCTAGTGAATAGAATATTTGGGGGGAAAGTAACAAAAAGTGGTAATTTCACACTTTTACAAATAATGATTACCAGAAGTAAAAATGAAACTCACTGCCATCGAGTCAGTGCTGACTCATAGCGACCCTATGTGTCCTATCGGTAGAACTGCCTGCCCCCTGTGGATTTCTGAGCCCGTAACTCTTGACAGGTATAGAGAGCCCCGTCTTTCTCCTGCAGAGCGGCTCGTGGTTTCAAACTGCTGGCCGTGGGGTGAGCAGCGCAGTGCGGAATCAGCCACTGGCCTTCTCTATAAACACCTTGGAGAGTAATCATGACCACACATTTGCGGGAGTGGTTGGTGGTCATAATATACAGTCTCATAAAGAGATTGTTTTGAAGAAATCTATGAGACGAAGCAAAATTGAACGTCCCAAATCTATTTTAAACGAATGGGTCTCAGTTACGAAGACCGCTGGTGTGCTGTTTGATCTCGGCGTGTATGCTGGAAAGCCAGCAGGCGATTCCGAGCATGTAGGGTGCTGCAGCGCCTCACAGTGCAGAGTCGAAGGAGGTACCACAAGTGTACCAGGGTTTCTGATTCAGTGGTGGGCAAATTCTATCTTTGCAGCCACTTTTCATAGTTCAAAATTTTTACAAAAGTAGCTGAGAAGAGTTTTAACTGCTACTTATGGGCTCACAGAAATGCTCTGTTGACACTTGGTGCATTTCTGAACATTTTAAGGTGGGGGGGGGGATGTGCGGGGAAGAGGGTTGGGTACCGTGCTAAAGTTAAGTGCCCATTCTGGAAATTCCCTACATGTCAGCTGTATTGTTAAATCATCTTTGTTGATACAATGTTTGAAGTAAAAGTAGCATGACCAGTGAAAAGCATCAAATGCAATACTCTGTAAGTAAATTATGTGGGGAGATGCCTTAGGATTTGTCACCAATCTAAGAGGCTGCTCGTTTCTATTGTTGCCTGCCAATGGCTGGTCGGTGAGCATTTCCAGACACGTTTAGTGAGCATCTCAGCTGGCAAAGCTAGGTGTGAAAGACAGGCACTCGCTTCCAATGTACATTCTCATTCTCTTGTTAGGGTATTGTACACCTAGAACACTACTGCACAGAAATAAAATCCTATAAAGAGGTGTGTGTACAGCAATAGTTCTCTGACGTTTTGGGTCTTGGGATCCTTTGATACACTTAGAACTTATCAGGGGCCCACAGGACTTCTGTCTTTGGGGTTATAGCTATTAGTATTTTACCATGTCCATTTAAAACGGAATTTAAAAGACCTGTCCATTAATTTGACACAGTTAGTTTATAGGTGGCATGTTGATGAAAAATAACTGTCTGTTTTCTCAGAGCCAAGATAATTAGAACAGTAGCTTTATTTTACATTTTGTATAAATCTCTCATCTGGCTTTAGTAGAAAATAGCTGAAGTCTAATACCTACTTTGGTTTTCCATGTGTGGTTTTGGTTGATGTCTAGGAAGAAAATCCAGCCTTACACAGAAAGTAGCTGGAGAAGGGAGAAGTATTTAAATAGCCTTTATAGATAATTGCAGAAAATGTTTTAGCTACTACCCCAAATCCCCACCAAGGTCCTTCCTTAAATGGGGATTGTGGAAACACATCAGGGAGCCTTTGAGGCTCGTACATTAAAGCCCTCAGTTTTAGTTTTCCTTTTGTGTGGATCTTTTTATCTGTGCCTTTCCTTGTAACACCAGGCATTGTTCATTAGGAAAATGCTGATTTTCTTAGTTAGGCAGATCTTCACCATATTGACCGATTTCACTATAGTTTTGTTTGTTTGTTTATTTAAATCATATTTCTTCATATCACTCATTTTGTCAGAAAGATCTTTCACTGTTGGGAAGCCAGCCAAAGCCCTCACCTGCGAAGAACTAGTTATTCTCACAGTCGTTCTTTCAAATTAAATGATGGCCCACGAGACTGCCATGATATCAACACACACACACACACACACACAACCATCAGACAAGCCCCCCTCCTTAAAACAACCTTCCTCCCTCCATAGGGGAAGTGAAAAGGCTGTTTCAGATATTCCTTTCCCGTGTCCACCTTTGGTGGACTTAAAGACTTAAAGACAGGAGAGAGGGTTTTTTTTTTTTTGTTGTTTTGTTTTTTTTGAGAGAGGGTTTAAAAAAGACCTTTTAAGAGGAAGCAACAGAGATGGTTTGTGTTCGTTCTACAGGCATTCCATTTCTCACCCAAGAAACTCATGTTGCAAAAGATGCAAGTGGGCTAGGAAAGGTTCTAGGCTTACTCAGCCCCCGTGCCTCACTCTCCAATCCCATGTCCCCTTCTTTCGCTTTGTTATAAATGTGTGTGTGCACACACCAGCTTAATAAGCTGTTCTGCAGCGAGTCTTTTATTTTCCCTCACAGTGTGTCTGTGGATGTAGGCAAAGGAGGACTCTTTTTTCATGGCTGCACAATATTCCCCAACAGGGATGTACCGAGGCATTCCATTACCCATTCTCCACATGAGTTAGGTTATGTCTAAATGGCCACTTCTGCATCTCTTTACGCATTAGCAGCTCTCAAAATGGGCCTTTGACACACCCTCCACACCAGACCCTTTATTATCCAGGATAATTAAACTGGTCTTCGAATAGTAACCGTCTTGCCTCTTTTCTGGTGTTGACAACCGCACCGAGAGCTAACCAGCATGGTGGACAGACTATGCAGCATGAATCCGGGCAGTGACAATAAACAGTCCTTAACGTCATCAGATTCTACGTCGCCACACAGAGGAAAACAGCGCTGCCTCGATTTAGCAATGCTCTCATGAAACCATGCAGATTATTTCGCTAAATCCTGACCCTGAAGGGCATGCCTTTTATTGTGTGGGACGAAGAGAGAAACATCTATTTGGAGTCTCATATTTACTCCCACCTTCAGCCTGTGGTAACATGCTGCTTGGACTAAAGTATATGAAGAAATCTGTTTTCACACAAAGGTGTGGCACCGGGTTTGCCTTCCTCACTGAACACCTTGCGGCGCTAACTTCCCTAAAGACGTTGAAACCAGCCAAGCTTGCCACGTGTTCCCCACGGACTTCATTTTTTTACCACTACCACTGAAAACAGGGAGACACTCAGAAGCCTTCCTGGTTCATAAAATGTTTATTTCGAGACTTTGAATAGAGGCTAATAAATTCTAAAATAGATAACATTTGTTAGATAGAGCCTGGGCTATTGGCATTTCCCCAGTTGGGAATGGGGCTGGGCCGACATTTAATCATGGCACTATTCTTAGGGGGAAGACACGGCCGGCCGTGCTAAGGACGGACTTTAATTATAAATAGAACGTGTGAGGTTACTGTTGTCCTCTTTGGGCACAGTATAATAAAGTTAACTGCTTGGGATCGCTACTTGGTCTGCCAATTTGATTATTCTCACCTATTTAATTAAGTTTAGGAAACCTTTATTAGGCAGTCCTTCATTTCTGCAGAGGAGGCAAAGACAACCAGAGCAATTCTGAGCCTCAGAGAGGGAGCAGCGAGTTGGCATTGCCAAAGAAGGGTGAGGTCGAAGCAGCAGCTGGTGGTCGAGAGCTCCAAACAGATTCGTTTGCAGGATTTGGGGTCACGGGCAGGTATCCTTGGACAGGTGGGGACGTAGGGATCCTGGAAACAGAAACCCTGAAAGGTTCGCAAAAAGCCTAGAACCCCGTCAAGACTCAAGACGGTGGCATCTGCTCAGTGCCCCGCCGTCAGGAGCGAGAGGGAGCACGTTGAAGGGTCAGTACAGGTGGGGGCCCACGGGGTTGTGCAAGCAGAAAGCAGAGCTTTCTCCTGCGATGGGGAGACCCAAGCCAGAGTAGAGGGGCTTGACCGGTCGCTGTCGGTGGCGGCTCCACAGTAGACGGTTCCACAGCACCCCTCACTGTCAGGGTAGTTCCCCGAGCAACCAGCCTGTGTGTTTCAATCCCTCAGGTGGTGTTGGAGTGCTATGTCAGAAAGGACTTGGTCTACACCAAAGCCAACCCGACATTTCATCACTGGAAGGTCGACAATCGGAAGTTCGGACTGACTTTCCAGAGCCCCGCTGATGCTCGGGCCTTTGACCGGGGAGTGAGGAAAGCCATCGAAGACCTCATAGAAGGTATTACGTCCATCGCTGCCTTCTCAATGGGACCCTGGGGATCCTCCCCCTCCCCCCAGTCTCTTTCATTCTGACTTCTCATTCTGCTTTCACGAATTTGTGGTTTGTTTGAAGTGGGTTGGGGGCCAGGCCCGCGGATGCCCGATCTTGGAGCGCATCCGAGGAGAAGGCTGAAAGAGCCAGTGCAGAGGAGGAAAGGGGATGTCTGTGTGTAAGGGGTGAACCCAGCTCCTTTTTAAGACTCTGCTCTGGAAAATCAAGCAAGCAGATGATCTCTAGCCTCTTGTGTGAATGAATGTTTTGCTCTTGCAAATTGTGAAACTGCTTGGGTCTGGCCTGTCTGGACCTCCATGTGGAAAATGGACCCAGGCTGGTTCCAGAGCCTCCAGAGCTATACAGTCTCAGTGTCCTGTTTTCACTGAGAAAGGAAGGGGATGGGAGCTCGGACTCCTGGAGCCTGTGGATGGAGAGAGGCAGACATTGTGTGCTCTGGATCGCAGCCTCCTAGGGCGGTTGGATTCTCCTGGTGGGCGTGGCCAGAGTCCACAGATGCAAACGTTACTTCAACCCATTCTCTTACCAAATCAAAGTTTCTGCCTGTAACAGCCTCCATTACCAAGGTCCCAGGGGAGAAAGGAATGTCAACCAAGGCCCATTAAAAAGTGCAAATTCAGAATGAGTGGAAATTAATCCCCAAAGAATGTTTCATTTATTTACGTTTATTTCTGTTTGTGTGTTTTGCCGGGTGAGAGAGAAAAGCGCATCTTAAAAAGAAACACTTAAGAGATTACAACCAAGCATAAGAATTCCAGCGAGAAAGTGAGTCTGTCAACTCCAACCCCGCAGAAGCCAGAGTTAATGAAGCCCAGTTGGTGTTCACACCATAGATCAGCCAAGAGAGGCGAATATTTCAGATGTGCTATTAAGCATAGCTTTTCAGATGTTCAGAGAGAGCCGGTACCTGGATTGGTGATACAGATTTGCTGTTTGGGTGCTCAGCCCCTGAAGCTACACCCCACACTTGGTTCTCCCACTTGTTCTCTGTGCATACTCAACCCAGCTGTTTTCTGCCAAGCTTGCCTTAAGCCCTGATCAATTAGAATCATTTCAACAGGAGCATCACAGAAAATACACTAGTTTCTTTCTCCACCCATCCCTTGCTGCAAACTTAAATATTCCTTATCCTTTCCTAAGCAATTATTTGCATTTCCATTTTCGACAATAGCAAAATATTTTCAAAATATAATTTTTTTTTAAGACCTAACCAAGAGAAGACGGTGGAGAATAAATTTCGTTTATGGTACCTGTGCCTTACTCAATGTTTACACCACCCCCCCTTTACGCCATTAGCAGTGTCAATTATTTGCACTGTATTTTTGCATACACATTGTTGGCACAGTTAGAAGGGGAAAAAGTGGGGCAGGCAGTGATTGCTTATAAATACACATTTTTGTTTCATCTCTTTTCCAAATGCAGTCCCCGGATTGCATACCAGGATGAAGAATGATGTGAGAGAGTCAATCAGTTGAATTCTAAATGACCCTCTTGTTCCGTAACAGAGGGAGCTGGGTTTTCTCCCTGGGCCTATATCGTGACCTGGGACAGCAGCACACGCTCACTGCTGGTGCTAATGTCCGTTGAGAGGGCTGCTGAGCCTGGCGTTGGGGTGCAATGTTTGCGTACACCCAATCTCGTCAGACCCCCATCATTGGTAGATGAAAAGACCAGAGAAGCTGAAACCAGCCCACCCAGTAAGGTTGTGGCTTCTCCTCATCCCCCACAGGGCTCTCGGGGTGACCAGCAGAGAACAGTCTGACTTCCCAGCAGGCCCTGGGCAGAATGAGCAGTGGACACCGGGCAAGGCTTTCCCTAGTAGTCAGCATAGAAGCCTGAGTGATTAATTGGAAACAACAGTTAATTTAGAGAGCAAGAGTAAATTAAAAGCATTTAATTTCCAGGTAACTTCTTTCTGCCGGTGAATCGCGTTCAACGGGAACGGAATGAGGTTTTATTAAAATGCACGCTTTAAATGATCGGATCTGGCCTCGTCGACTTTGGAAACACCTTCTGTTGCGTTTTCTTGTCTCCTTAGGCTCCACCACATCCTCTTCCACCATCCACAATGAAGCTGAGCTCGGTGACGATGACGTGTTTACAGTAAGTGCCCTCAGTCCTTTGCTCCCCGGGTTCCCTAATGAACCATCAGCGTGCAGTGCCATTGTGGGCATGGGAGAGACTTTGCAGTTGGGCATTGGCTGTCACTGTTTCGATGCCCCGGAGAGATCTCTGTTTTGTCGCTCTGTCCTGCCCTGGTGGCCGTGGCCTGGGTTTCAGCGCTGGGCTGCTGTGCTCGTCTGGGTAGACTAGAAAAACAATTCACTGACACTCCTATGTATGTAAGAAAGAGCTTTATATAAAGAGAGTAATTGTACATTAAGAAAACATCCAAGACGGTGCAGATCAAGTCTGTAACTCCGATAGTAGCCCATATATCTAATACCAATTTATAAATTCCTCTTCAGACTCATGAAACCTATGCAATAAGGCCAAATGCGGGAAGATCACAGGCCAGTGGGTGGGAATTCTTGTGGAGCCAGGGGCATTGTAAGCATCTCGGCACTAGCAGGGGTCTCCACCTGGCGCCTCCAGCTCCCAGGGCTCTGGCTGCCTCAGGGTAGCTTCATGTGGCTTCTCATTAGAAATGTCTCGCAGGGAGTGACTCTGTGTCCCGCCTCCAACGAGCTATGTATCTCCTTAGCACCTATGAATGAGGTCATCAAGCAGCGATCTGATCGACAGGCTAAACTCCACCCCTTTGCTCTTAAACCTCAAATTGACAACAGATTATGTAACTACCACAGCTGCCAACCACAAGTTCAGCAGTGCCAGCTCACCAGCCACTCCACCGGAGGAAGCTGAGGCTTTCTGCTCCCGTGAGGAAATGTGGCCTCGAAAACCTTTGGAAGCTTGTCTGCTCTGCCCTGCAGGCTCGTTATCAGTCGGAATCAATTGGGCGGGGGCGTGTTATATTTGGTTTGGGGGTTCAGCCAGTTTGCCTGCGATGCTGTGATGCTGTCCAACACAGTAGGGTCAGCTCCGCTGGGATACTCCTCCTGGCTCCACCCACAGTCCTCTCAAATTTAAGGTGACCAACCACCCTGGTTTGCCCAGAACTGCCCCCTTCCACCCCCCATTTACCACTGAAAGATCCCCATCCTGGGACAAGTGGCCACCCTCCTGGAGCCTCCTGTTAGCACACCTCCCTCTCTAGCATCCTGGCGGAAAACCAGAGGAAAAAACGGAGCTTACTGATGAGTAATTCAGCGTCTGAGAAGAGAGGCCTGAAGGCTGAACTTGAGGTCAGAGCCCCAGTGTGCTAGAGCAGGAAAGGGCTCGGCTCTTTTGACACAGCTTGAGTTGATGGGTTGTAACGGGGACAAAATGATTTCTCAGCTTGCTTCTTCACTTGACGCCTGTGTTTCTAGAAGTTAATTAACAAATAGTTTATGGTGTGCTCACTGGGTGCTTTGGAGCAGAGAGGAACTTGCAGGGCAGTGTTTTTAAACTTGGCCTAGACTGGCAGAAGTGTAACACGGGTTACGTAGTGGGTGGCCCAGGACACGCAGCCACGGGTACCTGAAACAAAGACTTCATGCTCTGCGCCCAGAGTTTCTTAATGTTTCACCTGTTTGTGGGCTTTTTGTTATGAAAGAATTCAAGCGGACCAAAAAATTAAACGGCATCTCCTACACCTCAATTCCGCAGTCGTCACATTGTGTCACACACACCCCACAGGTGGGTCTGCAGCGACGTGAAATGACTCAGCATGGCTCTTCTAGCCACAGTCTCTGAAACTCCCACCAGAGGATGGGCGTAGGAGCGTGCCAATAAGACATAGAAGAGGCGGATAAGGAGATGGGTCGGTTTTGTTGTTGCACTAGGTGTAAAGTGAGCCACCCCAGAAGCAGGAGCACAGAATCCCACAGCCACCGAGAAAGAAAAGGAGGATATAGGGACAGACACCAGAGGCCACAACCCTGGGACTGCCAGGAACAGGCCAGCGGAACAGGGGAAACTGAGAGCCTGCAGGCAGGAGACTGGCTTGCAGAGTGGGGTGCCCTTGCAGCATTTATCAATGCTAAAGGAGCCCTGGACTGCTGGCCGCAAGACGTAGAAACCGCCAGCCACTCCTTGGGAGAAAGATGAGGCTTTCTACTGCTTTACAAAGAGTCACAGTTTCAGGAACCCACACGGGCCCTTCCGCTCTGTCCTGGGGGGTCACTGGGAGTCAGAATCACTCGTTGGCAGTGAGTTTGAATTTGAAAGGAGAGTTGTAACCCTGGTCTGAGCAGGGCAGAGGCCCAGGACCAGAGAGAGATGGGCCTGAATGTATGGCTGAGAAGAGACGCCATAAGGAAGAGAACTGTATCCTTAACATTTCTGGTCCTGACTTGTAACCTCTCCGCTTCCCTGGTAAACTCCGTAAACTGTGAGTCGTTGTCTGTGTGGCCGCTGCCGTGGATTAGGGAACCCAGCTGAGGAGATTAACAAGGTAGGGGGAGGGAAGCAGCCAGCCTCATCTTTCTTCCCTGGAGCTGCTGGTGGGTTTGAACCAACCATCTTCAGGTTCAAAGCTGAGTACTTAGCCACAGCCCTGCCGAGAATCCACCTACCTGCCGTCCTGTTGACTGACTCACAGCAACACTGTGGAAGGTTTCCAAGGCGGTGGCTCTTGACTAGAGCAAGCAAGCTGGTGACAGCCTACTAAATGTGTCAGTCCACTAATGGTGGCTTAAACCAGTGGTGTAAAAAAAAAAAAAGCCCTCCTCTAGGTTTACAGAGCTGTGTAAGCCAAGCCACCGGCCCTCAAGGAGATTTCAAGGTCGTTTGGGCAGAGGGGGGTGGCACAAAGGGTGTCATGAAGTGATCTGGTGCAGGGGGTTGCCGGGAGGCTGGGCAGGACCTTGATGGTGCCTGAACAGTGGGGCTGAGGTTGGGATTTCCTGCGTGCGGGAGGCGCCCAGTCTGCCAGTCTGCCCCAAACAGGGCACGCGTAGGCGCCTCGGGAAGTGAACCGGCCTGCTCTCCACGGAGCGGCGGGTGGGATGCGGCGCCCGCGAACGAGCTTCCTCCAGTGCTCCTAGCAGATCCTCCCAACAGTTGGCATGTCGCTGACATCTGTTCCTTTGTCACGTTTCGAGAGACAAACAACAGCAGGCGGGTTAAAAGGTGGCTTCCTGTGCTCCAGAGCAAACCTGTCGTGCGCAGCTGCTTCCCAGCTACCTGCCAGGAGTGATTTATTGACTCGGGAGAGGGAAGGGGGGAAGGAGGCTAGCTGGAATCCCTCCTGGCTTTGTCCTGTGACCCATAGGGGACTCGCCTGCTATTCCAGGGTGCATGGAATAACAAGAACCCCAGAAACAGGCCCTGCTTCCAGACTCAGGAGCTCAGTGGGCAGGGCGCTCGGCTCTGCTCCCTGGAGTCTGTGTAGCCCCCCAGGTTTGTGTAGCCCCCCCCCAGGTTTGTGGTCCATGGCCCCAGTTCCATTTGCCTACAAATTGGGACTTGTTATTAGTAGCACCTCGCCTCCCCAAAAGCCCAGCAATCAAGCCGTTGGCTCTGACAGATTCTCCCCACTCCCACAGGGGAGTCCTCAGAACTCTTCCTTCCGGAGCCCTCTGGTCTGAGCCCTCCCATCCTAAGACAGTAAGTGGGGCGTCGGAAAACGAGATCCCCCAAAGCAAGCACCTGCCCGCACTGCTGCGGTGTCTGCAGTGGTCAGTGTTTGTGGACGTCTAAAACTGTCATTGGTGAGACAGTTTTTTAGAGCCTGTTAGAACTCATTGATTGTCTCACATCCCCCACCAGGGATTCCAATCTGTTAAACAAGTTGACCCCTGTTAACAACTGTCCATCTTTGAGACCAGGACGGCCTCCTTTTTCTCCCAAGGAGCTTCTTGGTGGTTTCAAACTGCTGACCTTGTGGTTGGCAGGCCAGCACTATGTACCCCACCAGGGCTCCTTCGTGTAATGAGCAGTGTCCATGGTGACGCGACCCCCCCTACAGCCTGTAAGGGACCAAGGGCACAGCTTGTGCGTGGAGAAACCTCAGAACTCGACCTTGCAGAATCAGGCGTTTTGCCTCTTCCTCCTCTGCTGCTAGATCCATCTGTAGAAGGAGGCTTCTAACAGTTGGAATGAAAGGATAATGGGATTTGACGTTCCCTCATACCTCCTTGTGTTTCAGGGGAGTTCTTGGGGGCTAGGAGGGGAATGTTAGGGCAGCGTGGGAAGTATCTTTATGCTCAAGAGCATAGACACTCTTCAGGTGTTGTACATCGGGGACCAACCCTCCCTCCAGGTTAGAGGTGGGACCTGCAGTGCCTCAGGCAGGCAGCAGTAGTCTGCTGCATGCTCTCAGCTTTATCCTGGCATCGGCCTGCCCTCCTGACTTCCCAGGTGGATAGGACCACTTGGTAATCCCTTGGGGTAGAAATACCATCCTGCTTGCCACCACCACCACCCCCCATCCACTCTGTGGCCCATTACAACTTGTGGTCTCCGCAGTCTTCTCTGGCCTCGTTGACACTCCCAACAGCCTCCTGCCCAAGCCACCACCAGTTGCTCCTGCCTGGCCTCGACTCTGCTTTTCCTGAGTTCTTGATGGTTACGGCCTTCAAGTCTCCTAATATTTCTCCTCTGACCTAATAAGATTGTTCTCTCACCTTTAAAATCTCATAGCACTTTGAGCTTTTATTTCTCTCTTGCCACTTCAAACCAGTCTCTTACTTTTACTATTTAATTTGCTGAATGCATCCCTGCTCAGTTAAACGATAATCATTGTGGTCTCTTCAGCCCTATGGTATTTGCTCTGTAAAAAAAAAAGGGCAAGCTCGGGGCCACGGAGGATGATGTAAGATAGGAAAGTAATCATCTATAACTTATCAAGGGTTCGGGAGGGAGGGGTAAGAAATGGGGAGCTGATATCAGGGACTCAAGTGGGAAGAGAATGCTTTGAAAATGATGATGGCAGCATATGTGCAAATGTGCTTGACACACTGGATGAATGTAGGCATTGTATGATAAGAGATGTAAGAGCCCCCAATAAAAGTATTTAATAAAATAAAATAAAAAAGACCAAACTCACTGTTGTCGAA